CACCCCCCTTTTTTTTTTTTGTTTAATGAAGCCTGTAATTTACAGAAGTCTTAAGAAAGACTACTATAGAAACTCCAAAATGATGGAGAGAAAAAATAACTCCAGTAGGTCAAATCTACCAACAGCTTATAAAAAGAGTTAGGATATATGGATTTTATAGCAGGAAAAAAGAGTAATTTGTTTTCTTAGACTTTTCACTCTTAGTTCAAAGAAACACCAGAACTTGAATTTTAATGCCAGCAATTTCTGCAGAATCAACTGTCACTGGATTTGATAATTCCTTCCCTATATAAACTATCACTAAATGCAGTTCACTAATATTATTAACCACATCAATGTCTTGAATTTCTTGGAGTCATTAAAGGAATTAAATTCATGCTTATAGATTTTTGGATAGTCTGAAAGAAACAAAATCATCTTCATTGTGAAGCAGTGGCTATAGTGGACTTAATAGTCAACCACACACAAAGGGTGGAGGTTTTGCTATTACTCAGTCTATATTGACAGAAATCCTTTTTTTTTTCCCCACAAGTATATTAAAATATATTCATGGTATATGAAGAAAACCCACTAGGGTACAATAAAATCATTGCAATTGTGAAGATACTGAGATTGAAGAATGCTATTATTAGAAAGGAATATGTTGTTCCCTGCCATGGGAAACCCTGGCATTCCTCCACTGTCAGCTTGCAGGGCTGAAAGGCAGATCATATGGGTTGTGCAGGTATCTGTGAACAGGTATTCAGAATGGGGAAGTAATCCTAACTTTAGGGCATTTCAGCAATGTCCAAAAATGTAATTACAATATTTGATGGCAGGAAAAAAAATAATTTAAATAGACCTCTAAAAAAAAACCCCCACCCCTAAATAGTTGTCATCAATTTCTCTTTGAATATTCCATCTCTGCTGGACAAGGCAGAATGCTGAGCCATTGGGGCAGAAGGAAGTAGCAGCAAGGTTTCAAATACTGTCTACTTTTATGTGCAAAAGTAGTCTTATATTAGCAAGCCCATTTTCAGAACAGCTCATGTGTGCTGATGGCAGCCCTGGTATCCTTACTCAACCTCAAAAACTGTGGAATTTGTAGCACAGAAAAATATTTAATAATTCCCCTCATTGTTAGGACAGCCCCTCCAAGACAAGAGCATCATTCTCATTCCATAGCCCTGTGGATTTTCTGGAGAAGAATTCCTCCAGTCAGGCTTTCTGTGACAGGAGGATGCAAAAGCTATTTTGACTTCTAGTGAAAGGTGATGTTGAACAGACTATAAGCATGCCACCTGAGAAACAGCTGTCATCTAAGACTCAAACTAGCTAGTAAAATAGACCAATTAAAGTAAACTGACTGATTAAACCAGCATCAAATTTTCTTACCTCAGCAGTCCCAAAGTCTCTGCTTTTCTCTTTGAAAAAGCAGAATTTAGATTCACTACATTACTCCATTGCAGGAACTGCGTTAAGCTCATCATCCCATGCTATAAGTCAGGAATTATTACAGCCTGGTGCAGGAAGCCCCTCCCTAGTCAATGCTCACAGCCTGAGCTGCAAGCCCAGGGCCAAGCCTGAGTCTGGAAGATCAAAGACTCATAAAAACATAGAATAGTTTGATTTGGAAGGGACCTTAAAGTTCACCTAGTTCCAAGCTGCCTGCATGGGGAGAGATGTCTCCCACTAGATCAGGTTGCTCAGGGCCCCATCCAACCTGGTCTTGAATGCTTCCAGCGATGGGACTTCCACAACTTCCCTAGGCAACCTGTTTCAGTGTTTCACCACCCTCACACTAAAGAATTTCCTCCTGATGTCTGACCTAAATCTCCCCTCTTCCAGTTTTGATCCATTACCTCTTGTCCTGTCACTACCTGCCCTTGTAAAAATTTCCTCCCCAGCTTTCCTGTAGGCCCCATCAGGCACTGGAAGACCACTATAAGGTTTCCTCAGAGCCTTCTCTTCTCCAGACTGAACAGCCTCAACTCTCCCAGCCTGTCTTCATAGGAAACGTGCTCCAGCCCTCAGATCATCTTCTCTGGACCTTCTCCAGGAGCTCCATGTTCTTCTTATGTTGGAGGATCCAGAATTGGACACAGTACTCCAGGTGGCATCTCACAAGAGCCAAGAAAAGGGGGAGAATCACCACCCTTCACCTGCTGGTTGGGTTTCTTTTGATGCAGCCCAGGACGCAGTTGGCTGTCTGGGCTGCAAGCACACATTGCCAGCTCACGTTGAGTTTCTTTTCCACCATCACCCCCAAGGCCTTCTCCTCTGGCCTGTTTTTGATCCATTTTCTCCCCAGCCTGTATTTGTGCTTGGGATTGCCCTGACCCAGATGCAGAACCTGGCACTTGGCCTCGTTGAACTTAATGCAGTTTGCATGAGCCCACCTCTCAAGCCTGTCAAGGTCCCTCCGGATGGCATCCCTTTCCTCCAGCATGTTGACCTCACCACACACTTTGGTGTCATGGTCAAACTTGCTGAGGGTGCACCCAGTGCCACTGTCCATGTCACCAACAAAGATTTTAAATAGCATCAGTCCCAGTACTGACCCTTGGGGAACACCACTCATGATAGGTCTCTATCTGGACATCAAGCCGTTAATCACCACTTTTTGAGTGTGACCATCCAGCCAGTTCCATACCCAAGAAGTGGACCACACATTGAATCTGTATTGTTCCAGTTTCAATACCAGGATGTTGTGCAGGACAGCGTCAAAGGCTTTGCACAGGTACATGATGTCAGTTGTTCCTCCTTTGTCCAGCAGTGCTGTGACCCCATTGTAGAAGGCCACCAAGTTAGTCAGGCAGGATTTGCCTTTGATGAAGTCATGTTGGCTGTCACAAATCACCCCTTTATTTTCCCCATGCCTTCAGGAGGATCTCCTCCACGATCTTGTCAGGCACAGAGATAAGACTGACTGGTTTATAGTTCCCTGTGTCTTCCTTTTTTCCCTTCTTGAAAATGGGAGTTATGTTTCCCCTTTTCCAGTTAAGGAGGATTTCTCCAGCCTGCCAAGAATTTTCAAATATGAGGCACAGAGGCTTTGCAATTTCATTGGCCACTTCTTTCAGGAGCTATGGACAAATCCCATCTGGTCCCATAGACTTGTGCACCTTCACATCCTTCAGATGGTCATGTGTTAATGGCCTACATGTGTTAATAACAGACTGTACCAAAAGCATGAAAACCATCTCAAGCTCAAAGTCATGCTCTCTGTCTAGAATACTTGAGGATCGTAATTTGTTGGCATTAAACTGTGACTGTTTCCACCTGGTTAATGGATATTTATAGAAGGTAGGTGTCAGAGACTGTTCAGTGACTTGCAAGGGCACATGGAACCAGAATACACAGAAGAGAGCAGTTTAGAATCTTTAGTTTTTCCTGTCACAAATAACAAGAAAATAAAATATATAATGGAATTTACTTACACATTAGTGGTAAAAATACCATAGATCAAGTCCAATTCTGGCAGAAAGAAAGTGCTCTGTAGTTCATTATAGTAAAACGGAATTTCTCCAGGGCGAGAGCAGTTCAGTCGAGCTTTCATGAAGGTAGTCCAAGTATCCTCTAGCACAAACTTGCCACCAATATCATTTTTGCACACCCGAGCAGCACGAGAGAAGACTGTTTTCCCACAGTCATGTTCCACTGCATTCTCCCGGAAGAAGAAGTAGGTAAAGTTCCCAATGTCATAAGATGACACAAAATTTGGCTCTGAAAATAAAAGAAAAAAAGATTATTTATCGCCTTCTTGTGATATATGCACTAACATTAACATGAAAGTTGGACTTCAGCATTAGAGAGAGAAAAACATACTTTTTACTGTCTTAGCAGAGAATTTGCCCCATAATATCTGAGCAGGCTAAGTCAAGTGCAGCAAGGATTATGAGCTCCATGAACATGGCTAGACATTACCTAACACTGGTACCCCGAGAAACAAGCACATTTTTTGCTTTCATTCCCAAATTTTATTGTCAGTGGAAAACAAACAACCAAGCAAACTGTTTTAAAAGCATCTATTGTGAGGAAGCACTCCAAAGAAATTCAACAGGTGAACATCTCTTGACAGCACTATTGTACGGAAAAAAAACTGGTGTAATTGAATCTGAGCATTTTGCAGAAACATCTCAAATCTGTAAAAAAAAGACAAGCAAGGTGGCGTTTCTACACAGCAGTCCAAACTCTGTCAGACACATCCTTTCCAGAAGTGGCCCAGCTCCCAGCTTACATGGCCTCTTGTGCTGCATGCCTCTCTATCTGCTGTGCTGAGAGTCTCCAGGGCAGGTTTTTTTGGCAGGAATAGTCATCAGCTGCCTGGAATACTTGAAACTGAGCAGATATGATAGCTCTCTCACTCCTCCCTATAACATTCACTCATTATCCTATTAAGCAGTTCCTTGAGATTAGTCTGTAACACACCACATTTTCCCTGCACTCAGATCTGCACAGATGTTTTGCCAGGAGATAGCAACCAAAATCTTTTGAGGAGAACTTGTTGCTATCCTGAGCTGTCATAAGTTACACAGTGCCTGTGCATTTGCATCACCTCCCTTGACCTGCTGATATAAAATGGCCTGTATACTGGCACAACAGCATCTCACTGCAGAGGCAAAAACACTACCAGAAGCACTCAAATTGTGGAGAACGAGGAATTACAAAGAAAACCTTAATGAACTGTAATGAACTGTGTGCTTGCAGTCCAGAAAGCCTACCATATCCTGGGCTTCATTAAAAGAAGCATGACCAACAGGTCAAGGGAGGTAACTTTCCCCCTCTATTCTTCTCGTGAGACCCCACCTGGAGAACTGTGTCCAATTCTGGAGCCCCCAACACAGGAAGGACATGGACTTGTTGAAGCAAGTCCAGAGGAGGGTAACAAAGATGATCAGAGGGCTGGAGCACCTCTGCTATGGAGACAGTCAGAGAGAGTTGGGGTTGTTTAGCCTGGAGAAGAGAAGGCTCTGGGGAGATCTTAAAGCAGCCTTCCAGTACCTGAAGGGAGACTACAGGAAAGCTAAAGAGGGAGATTTTACAAGGCCATGTATAGACAGGACAATGGTAACTGGCTTTAAACGGAAAGAGAGGAGATTTAGGTTAGATATTAGGAAGAAATTCTTCACTGTGAGGGTGGTGAGACTGTGGAACAGGTTGCCTAGGGAGGTTGTGGATTGCCCATCCCTGGAAGCATTCAAGACCAGGTTGGATAAGGCTTTGAGCAACCTGGTCTAGTGGGAGTTTCCCTGCCTATGCAGGGGGCTTGGAACTTGATGATCTTTAAGCTGCCTTCCAATTCAAACCACTCTACATATGATTCCATGTGATAATTTAAAAAAATAATATTAAATGCATTCAGAATGTCTTTAGGTTTCTTGAAAAATCCATGTCAATCTTTCAAGAGACAATATTTTAAAGTTGCACTGATAATTGTAATATATGTATAAATAAAAACTAGTATTAATATTTCATGGATTCAAAACTGAGAAACAAAATATACATCTGCAAACACCTATGCATATACTGTACTGATTATGAACTGATGAAAATGTGACATGTTGTTGAGACTTGTGAAAACTGTTTTGATTTGCATGAAATGTAATAATCTCAGAGCTACCTCAGGGAGTTCTGGAGATACGGAAGGATTATGATGTCAGACTTCATATATTTCATCTTCTCTTTGGGAGAAGTTAACTGAATGGTTTCAAAGGAAAAAGAAGATTAATGTCTAGGAAAAATGAGTTCATGTTTCCAGATACTGTGCTGTGAACTGCTATCTGTTGACATGGAGGTCTTTCCATAAAAGTTTTTAATGAAGTAAATGGAGTGAATCTCTTGTTTTCTGCTGAATTTGCAAAGAGTTCTGGAAGGATAAACATATCTCATTGGTGAATTATTAGATCACCACAATAAGTGCAAGGATTCTGGTATTCTCTCTAGGGGGAGAGAAAATGGACCATTCCTCACAAAAAGGATACAGCTAGTATGAAATAACATGAGATTTTCAACCTGCAGTAATGTTAACAGTATTATATATGACCTTTATACATTTTTATATATTAAATTTATAGATGTGTCAGGCTGACTAGTCTTTCCCAAATTAAATAGAAACAATGAAATCAGGAAAGCAAGAAAATGAGTTTGTGAATGTGACATGCAAAGATCTCCAGCACACAACATGCAGTATATACATAAGCCCATGCTCTGAAAGCACTAGGTGGCTCGTTAGCATTGCCTCGGGTCAAACTAATTGTAGTGTGCTATTTCTGAATTTTGCTTACTCAGTGGAAAGCCTGGGAATCTCTACAGTTTCCTTCATAAATTAGCATGACTGTCCTGCAAGGACATTTCCCCACAGACTCATCTAAGGTACTGCAAAAAAAGATGACTGAACCTTATGAAGTCAAGATAGTGCTTTAATGTTTTCTAAAAGCTGGGAAAAAACCTACATTTTCCGGGGAACACCATTTTTGTTCCTAATGAAGGGTACTTCTAGGTTATTCTCCCTTTTCACCTGCTCAGGAAACTCAGAGACAAAGAGACTAAGTCCATACTGTGGACATAAGTGGCCCGACCAGCCACAGGTTGATGCCATCTGACAGCATCAACTATTCCTGTAGGGACTGCCTGCAGCTCTGCAACTCAGCACGAGCTGAGGCTGCAGCCCAGAGAATGGCATTCTTGCAGCATGAAAGCAGGGCTGTGTGCCCTGGAGGCAGTGTAAGGACAGACTCAGGAATTCAGGACTGTAAAGCTTACTGGGAATGGGATGGGATACTGGTGGGCAGAAGGAGCCACATGGTGCAGCCCCATCTACACTGGTGGTTAAGGCAGGATTCTAAGGCAAGTTTTTCTCTGAGTCAAAACCCATTTTTCACTGGGAAAGCAGTGGCTGTAGTGGTCCAAAAAAAGGCTGGGAATTGAGCCAAGAGTTAAGCAGTATGCATGACCAAGGGTGTCATATGTAAGCTTACATCCTGGGCCTTTTTTATTTAGTGGTGTAGATGTCGTTTGAGTGGGTAAAAGGATGAGAGGAACTACACAGAAAGTTTCTCTGGGAAGAGGGATGGGAAACAGGAGTTTGAGAAAGCACTGTGAGAGCAGCTGTGGGCATCCTGGCCTCTTGCTTCCTGAGTTTTGAGGAAAGAAAGTTGGCTTCAGCTGTTTACTCTTTAAAACAGCACATCCTCTGAAGCAGATTAGTATGACTTAATTTACCAAGGTAGTGCATGCTACTGCTTCCAGAGTGAACCAAATGACAAAGAATAATCAGTCTTTCTGGAGGAAACAGCAATTAACCTTAATGATTATAAGGTCCAGGCCTACTCTCAGCCAGAAAAGCTGTAATTTCTACTGACTGTCCCTGTGAAAAGTGATGACACACTTCTCAAGTGCAATGCATTCAGAGACCTAGTAAAAAGTTAAATTAGTCCAAGAAGTGTGAAAAGAAAGCTAAAATTAGAAGTTTGTTAGATCTAGACACAGATCAGATTATACCTATACACAAGACACACACAGAGATATACGCATGTATAACATATTCAAAATCTTAGATGTCTAAATACTGGTGTATTACTGAAAAACATCTGTCTGGAGCTTGCTCATTGAGCTCACTAGATCAATGAATAACACTCTCACACTGTTGGCCTCTAAAGATCCATTTCTTCCAAATATTTGTATTCATCCAGACAGTTACTGGCATTAGTCCTCGATTCAGCTAGGATAGGGTTAATTTTCACAAGAGGCTGGGAGGGAATACAGCAAGGACAGAAGACCCCAACTAGCCAAGGCTATATTCTATACAATATGATACAATGCTCAGTATATAAATTAGGGGGTGGTGGTTGGGGGAGGAGTTATTGTGGCTTGTAAGTGTGATGCACGTCGGATTGAGTGATGAGCAATTTTATTGTGCATCAATATTTTTATTATGCATCGATATTTTGTATATGTATTTTCTCTTGCATGACCAGCAGAAATAAAGAGGTCATTATCCCAATCTACTGAGCGCTTGTCAGAACACACCTGGAGCACTGTGTCCAGTTTTGGTCCCCACTCTACAAAAAGGATGTGGACAGAGGGTCCAGAGAAGGGCCAGAACGATGATTAGAGGACTGGAGGACCTGCCATATGAGGAAAGGCTGAGAAAACTGCATTTGCCCAGGCCAAAGGCGGCTTAGGGGAGACCTTGTTACGGTGTTCAAGTACATAAAGGGTGGCTACCAAGAAGATGGGAGATTCCCTATTTACAAGGAATCACATGTAAAGATAAAGGGTAATGGGTACAAGTTACTCCTGGGAAGACTGTGATTGGACTCCAGAAGAAAAGTTTTCACCATGAAAACAGACATCGGAGTAATCTTCCAAAGGAAGTGGTGGATTTCAACACATCAGACTGTCTGAAGACTCAGCTTGACAGGGTGCTGGGCCATCTCATTTAAACTATATTATTACCTAGAAAGGCTGGACATGATGATCTTTGGGGTCCCTTCCAACCTGGCATTCTATGGTTCTATAATCACTTACTTTTGCTTTGTGTTGTCCTTGTAAACTGTCCTTACCTCAACCCATGAGTTTTACCTTTATCTTTTGATTCTCCTCCCCATCAACCCAGGGTGGGGTGGGGGGAACTGAGTGAGCAGACACATGGTTCTTTGTTGCCAACTGACCTTAAACAACAACATTAAATCCTAGGAAGATGTCTTTGAGTTTTTTGAAAA